TTAACAATATAAAATTATTTTACAATGTATATGTCCTCTTTTCTCTATTTATAATATTGAACATTACTTTTAATTCTTTTATTAAATGATATGAAAATTTTGATTTAATTGGTTGGCGCTAAAGTGTCAATGACACATCAGTGCCACTAATAAATAAAAACGGTCAATTATGCCAAAAAAAAATATATAATAATTGATAAAGAACTAAAAATTTTATAAATTGTTAAATGGGAGACTAAAATATTAAATTTTAAAATGAGACTAAAAAATTTAAATAAAAAAACTAAAAGATTAAAAGTACTTTTAAGTCAATTATTTATTATCATTTTAATATTATTAATGAAAAATAATTTTATAAAAGAATTTAATAAAAACACACTGACAATGACGTCAATAAATAATAATTGTTATATCTTAATTTAACTTACATTTAATTTTTATTTTAAATATATTAAAATAATAATTATGATTAGTTATAATAGATTGATTATATAAAACTTTTTACGTAGATAATACATAATAATTAAGATTTTTATAAAATGATTTAAAAAATAATACATAAATAATATAAATTAATATTAAATATATAACCAATCAAAAATTTTATATTTATTATGTTTTTAAAAAATTTATATTTTATATTAGTTACAAGGAAGAAAAAAAATATATTGACGTATCAACTTTTAATTTTTATCTAAAAACATGAACTTTTTTTTGCATACAATTTTTTCTTACATTGCCTTTTTTTTAATAAAAATGATAAAAAGACTAAAAAAAATTAAAATTAAAATAAAAAGATAAAAAATATATTTAAGTCAATTATTTATTATTATTTTAATATCATTAACAAACTTTTTTTATAAAATACTACCACCAAAATAAAATATAAACAAAAAAAAATCTAAAAAGGTGACGTATCAACTCTTAATTTTTATCTAGAAACATCATTTTTTTCTTATATTTCATTTTTAGTAATAAAAATAATAAATATATATTTCTAATACACAAATAATAAAATTAATAATATTTATTAAAATGTTAAAATAACATATAATAAAAAAACTATAGATTTACAAAGTTTTAATTGGGTATGGGGAATTATGGAATTGCATACCTTGATAGATTTCACTGCAGGCTTGTTTAGAAGCTTCAATCTGGCTTCAATTTCTCTATCTAAAGATGATAATGCTCTTGCTTCAACTTTGAATTCTATAATGCTACACAAGGAAAACAACACCCAAAGCAACATCATTGCAACATTGCATTTCCCCATTCCACCTTGATATCTCCCTTTCATTTCTCCTTTAATAAACTTGTAGGCATTTAGATTAATATCACACTTATTTATACAAGAAGTTTGTGTAGAAAAAAAAGGAGAATATTAATGTATATCAATAATGTATTCTAATTTCTTTTGACAAAAGGTGTATTTTAATACGACATTAAATAAAAAATATACTCCACTTTAAATATAATTAAAAAATAATAATTCAAGAGCACTTGAATAAGGTAATAAAATATTTTTTTCAATTTATGAGAATTTTGTCATTTATTATAATTATTTTCGACACTAAATTAGAATAAAGGTGTATAGGATACAAAAATAAATTATTAATTAATATTTATTATTTAATAAATTTTTATCTCAATTATCATTGCTAATTTATTATAAATAAATATTTTTATCCTAGTCATCACTTTCATATAAATAAAATAGCAAGATCAAAAGTAACTTTAAACTAAAAATATATAATTTTATTTAATTATAAAAATGATTATATTTTTTAATTACCATTTATAAAAAATTGTTCCGAGTAATTGAAAAGTTTAAATGTATTTTCTATCCTCGGACTTTAACTTTAAAATAACCCTTCTAATATAAAACTCAATTTTTTGATATTTTTTAATTCTTGAGATCTTCGATTTTACATAATTATTATTTTCATTTAATATGTATCACTGCTGGCATGTCATTTAGGTATGATAAATTGGATTAAGCTTGTTATGTTTTTGACGGCGAGGCGGTATAGCAAGACGGAAATGGGTAGGTCTGTTGTTAAAATAAACTGTTAAATATGTTTTTAATTTATATATTATTAAATTTTATTTTTGATTTCTATAAAAACATGATATGCTTTAATCTTTATAAAATTATTATATAATTTTAGACATTGATATGTATTTTTAAGTGATTATCATATATATATATATATATATATATATATATATATATATATATATATATATATATATATATATATATATATATATATATATATATATATATATATATATATATATATATATATATATATATATATATATATATATATATATATATATATATATATATATATATATATATATATATATATATATATATATATATATATATATATATATATATATATATATATATATATATATATATATATATATATATATATATATATATATATATATATATATATATATATATATATATATATATATATATATATATATATATATATATATATATATATATATATATATATATATATATATATATATATATATTTAAAATATTATAAAAAATTTATTAAAAATGAAAATTTTAAAATTTAATTTTTAAATCGAGATTTTTATATTTGTATTAATATCTTTTGAGATTTAAAAAATTTGTATTTAATTCATCTCATTTTAAAAAAATTTAAAATTAAATAAAAATTTTTTTATAATATTTTAAATTCATACAAAAAAAATTATTCAGAAATTTAAGTGTATTTAATGAAAAAAATAATCTTATATATAAAAGTGAGAGATATAGATAACAACCGTTTATTAAAATAAAATATTTAAAATTAAATATCACTTTAATGACTCATGAAAAGAGTAAAAAAATTTAATTTTAAATTGAAAAAAAGTGTTATGTAAGTAATTTTAAAAAGGTATTAAATTTGAATACTTTATTTTAATCAAATAATTGTTAACTCTTCCTCTCATTGTCATATAATTTATTTATGTTTTTGTATATTTTACTATTCTAAATTATCTAATACATTAAAACTCTTACTCATCTAGTGCTAATGTCATTATTATTTGTATTTTCAATCTCTCTCTTCTCCATTTTTTTACTAATGTTTTAGCCATCAAACCATTTTTAAGTCAATTTTTTAATCTATTATTTATCTTCCTAACCCCCTTCTCTCTCGCTCTTCTTCATGTAATTTGATAATATTTATTAAATATTTAATCATATTTAAAAAAAAAACACATATATATATTAGAGGTATTATAATAAAAATATTATTCTCTCTTATTTTTCTATACTTTCTTTTTTTAATATGTGTGAAATGATAGATCGGGTTACTCACCGTGAATCGGAAAATTTATTTTTTAAATGTTACAATTCTATACAATTTAATTTCTCATATATTTTATTGTTTTTTCTGTTTGTTCTACTTGAAATGAGTACAGAATAATAATTTAATAATTCAATACTCTCTATTAAAAATTCTATATTTTCTAATATATAGAATCTTCTATATTTTTTTCAAAGATAGTATAAAACATAATAACACCCATTAATGCTGTCACTTTTTCTGCATTGAACATCTTGTATAAATAGGTGTGTTATTTATCTTGAATGTGTCTAATTTCATTGAAGAAGAAATGAAGGGAATACATCAAAGTGCAACGGCAAAACACAAGGTTTCAATGTTGTTGTTATTTGTATTCTTTTCCTTACTAGAATTCAAAGTTGAAGCAAAAACATCATCACCTTTAGAAAGAGAAATCGAAGCTAAATTGAAGCTTTTAAACAAGCCTGCAGTGAAAACTATTAAGGTATGCAATTCCACACAATCACTTCAATATTGCATTTTTTCTAATTATTATATTTAAAATATAAAAAATTATTGCAGAGTGAAGATGGAGATATTATCGATTGTGTCGACATCTACAAACAGCCGGCTTTTGATCATCCTGCCTTAAAAAATCATAGAATACAGATGGTGCCGAGTTTTGTTCCTGAATCCGAAAATTCAAGCACAGTAGGTGTTTTCAATACAAGCTCTGATATATTTCAGACATGGCAGAAAAGTGGAAGTTGTCCTGAAGGAACTATTCCTATCCGAAGGGTTAGAAAAGAGGACTTGCTAAGAGCAGGTTCACTCGATCGTTTCGGACGAAAACCCCCTGAAATATTTGATAATTCAACAAGCACCATGAGTGGTATTGTTGAAGTGACAAATCGCTCGGTATATACATATACATGTGCACAAACAACTGATATCATTTTAGTGCAGTATAAATGCATGTATATATGATTAATAGTATATTGTGTAATGCTGCAGGATGCATATCTTGTAGCAGTGGGATATAATTTTATAGGAGGACAAGCAAATATTAACGTGTGGAATCCTAGAGTTGAAAAACCAGAAGATTTCACTACTGCTCAGTTGTGGCTCAAGGCTGCTAATGGTGATAATAATTTCGAAAGCATCGAAGCAGGCTGGATAGTAAGTGATCACCCTACTACATGATTAATGGATGCATGATGGTATAAATATGAGTCAATATTGCTAAATCTCTATATATGTTATGGTTAGGTAAATCCAACATTGTATGGTGACCACAGTACCCGATTATTCGTCCATTGGACTGTAAGTTCTTATTTATTGGAGGATAGATTCGTCTTTTTTATTGGTTTTTTGGAATCTTATAGACACTAATTTCTGGTTTTTTGATTGTGGTGCAGAGAGATACATACAACACAACAGGGTGCTTTGATCTTTTATGCTCAGGTTTTGTGCATACAAACAAGAATATAGTGCTTGGTGGTACCTTAGGACCAATTTCATCCCCTGGTCGTCAACAATATGAACTCAATTTCGCAATATATTCGGTAATAATAACATGCATGTATGTTCTTGTTCATATATTCCAATTAACTAGTGCGATGTCTATTGATATAACTTGTGTTAATTTGTCTGCATCATATAGGATTATCATGGAAAGTGGTGGCTTAAAGTGAAAAATAACATACCAGTAGGCTATTGGCCGACCGAGATAGTGAGTAACTTAGAACACAGTGCATCATTGGTTCAATGGGGTGGACAAGTTTTTAGTTATGCGGTCAAAACAGACCCTCCCCACACTGGAACACAGATGGGTAGTGGAGGAGCAGCAGGTGGACGATTCGGGCATGCGTGCTTTATGAGTGCTGTGAGAATTATAGATTATTCACTAAAAGTTAAGTACCCGCAAATTGTAGCCGTTCATGCTTCAGAACCAGATTGTTACAATACGTTGAATGATGTTCAATATGGAAAAGACCCTGTATTCTATTTCGGAGGGGAGGGACGAAACCCTCATTGTCCTTGAAATCATATTTGTATACTGGATGTTAAAATGTGTTTGATGAACAATAAAGATGTATAATTTTTCTCCATCTTGCAATTTCACTTTTTACAATCAGTCTAATAATGGAGAAAACTGAGAAATTTGAAGCAGAAGAAAACTGATTTTTATTAGTTTTTATGCCAAGTAATACATAGGGATCAAAAAGCTCCTCCCAAGCAAAGGGAGCACTCTTTTAGGTGATTCAGTTCCTGTGATAAACTTGCAATTACTTGAGAGGACAAAGTACAACAATATTATGTTTTGACCAATTTTGATATGACAGACATATCTATCTACATAACAATGTGCTGTAGAGTAACAAGGTTTAAACAAAAATATATCTATAAATAAAATATACCGTTACATGATGGCACACCTGCAGAACGTGCAGGAACTAGGCGACGTACACTTGAATGGATCCTCCATGTCAATAAACACCACTAGAGTCCGTCATATTGTTTTCTCTCTTCTTGAATTGATTGGAAAATTCTAGCTGCTGATTCAGTTGCAGATCTTCGGTTATGAGGTACCACTTTGATAACTCGAGTTTGTTGTCCTGTTTCGAGAGAATGAGGTACAACTTTGATAACTCGAGTTTGTTGTCCTGTTTCGAGAGAATGAGCACTCTCTGGTTCTATTGGAACCATAGGGAAAAGAGGTAGTACATCTCGTTCTTCAGCCACTTGTGCTGTGCTTATTTCTTGTGCCATTTCGCCAGGACTACTTGCGGTACTCATCTGCAACTCAAAGTCCTTGGATCTCTGATGATACATGACATGTGATGTAGTTCCGTTTCTCTGAACCGGTAAATTGCATGAGTTTTGATTATGTTTGTTACAATCAGCTTCATCTTCAGATAAACGGCGATTTTGCCCGCGTGCAGAGAATTGGTTCACATGTTCAACAGCTGACTCTGAACCTGCAGCTTTCATAACTGGCATGCTGCCATAGGGAGGGAAATAAGGATGGCTTCCTGGAGGAGTCTCTGGTGGAGGTGGGATTCCATAGGAAGGATTCATAAAAGTGCCACCCGAAGGAGCAGCCCCAAAGGGCGGACCACATCCTCCAAAATTTGTTCCAGTAAATCCAGGCCCGGGATACGGCTTGTAGACGAGCCCTTCAGACGGAGACATTACAGGAATTAACCACTGATGCCCAGGTGACTGATTATAACACCAGGGGCCCATCCCACTATCAGCAGCCATATTTCCTTGGTGTGGATTTCCGGCAAAAGGCATGGAATTAGAAAGGTGGCTCGTATTTTTCACTGATGAAATAGATGTTTTACCAACCGCATTCTCTGCTGAACATTCCATATTTTGATTTATCTTTTCAGAATCAACTTTGCGCTTAAGATTTTGTAGCTGAGTTTTTACAACATATTCCAATGAGAGTTTTTTAGGAGTAGATCCATCTGGAAGAGACTTTCCTAAAAAAGCACCATCATCAAACAATAGATCTGGCGATCCGGCAATCAGTTGTTGAACCTGCTTAAATAAAAAGAAATAATCATTGCAGACAGGCTCAAGGGTGTGTGAGAGCATTCCTCATTTTGGACAAGTACAAAGCACTGATCAATGTCAAAGATAATTTACCTTTATTAGTCTATGCAACTCAAACACTTGTACTGCAAACACTCTTTGTTGACTGTAGAGAGGAACAGAAGTTGGATCAACAAAATTCTTAAAACACATACAATCGAAATAAAATAAAAGATAAATCATTTGGAACTAAAAAATATATTGTTGGAAGCACCAATTTATAAACAACAAAAATTGAATATTCATCAATCACAGCAGGAAACAGGTTCAACAGGCTATTTTTCAATCTATAGATTAATAACATGGGGATCAAAAGAGGACTTATGACGTATACAATCAAAATAAAATAGAAAATAAAGCAATTTAAGCTATAGATATGATAAGGTTGAAAGCACCAGTTTATACACCACGCATTGCAAAAATCAAAGAATCTTCAATCACACAATATTAAGTATATGAAATCTGTTTTGGAGCTATAGATAGCAGGATACCTCAACTAGCTAATGTGTCTGTTTATTATAAAATAAAATCCCTTACCCAAAATGTTTCAAAACACAGAAAACCAAGACACTAGGTAAGTTGGGGAAATCCGCTACCAAAACATCTATCGAGGGCTCACACACTGTCCAAGTGTCCCAACCATATACATCCATGGGTCATCCTGAATTACTTGGTCCCCTTCTTAGCTCAAGTCCTTCTGTAGTGCAAGGAAACATGCCCCAGTGGTGACATGGAGAACTAAGCAAGAGGAAACCAAGACAGGAATACATCCAAAACCCAGTCGCTAGAAGACGGAAAATTATTAGATGATCTGCGGTCAGAAGGATCCCCTCCAATATAATATAATTTAAGCTATTCCTGTAGTAACCAGTACCCACCAATAAAACATTAGTAAGGACTAAGGACATTGAATGCAAAAATAAAAATAAAAAAAATAAAAGAAGAATTCGGCAAGGATCCCGGGACTAAAAAATTCATAAAAGATGCTTTAAAAGGTGAGGGAAAAAATGGCAACTTCAGATAGGAGCGTCCCTATAATTCACATTTTCTGGTCCTACATTTCTTCTTTCCGAGGGAATTTTCCTTACAATTTTCAAACCAGACCCAGGGCTAATGATAAATGCATGAAAATATAAACAAGAAGGCAGGAAAAATACCAACAAACCACCAAAATAACAAAAAACAAATCAGTGAACTATCAAAAATCCATCAAAAGTAGTAATTTTGCTTTTTATATTCTAAAGCTTCACACATTTCCCTGTAAAGAAACAAATTCAGGCTTTTGCTTTTAGCCAAAAAAAATTCTAACATTCATAAAACTCACCAATCTAGATAACTTCAGGTCCATGCAAATAATAGAGCTCACTATTTAATATTTATGAACCAGATTACCTTTCAAACATTACTATTTAAAATCATAAAAGAACCTGAGAAGCAACGAGACTTACTTGGCAATTTCTTTTCTGGCTTTCCAGAAATGTTTTTGGCCTATTACTGCAACAACATCATCAGGAAAAATTTTCACAGTTGACAAATCTTCTACCCTGGAGATCTTAGAAATGTTGTCATTTTTGTTTAAATTTCCTAACTGTTTCAGACTGCCTGTCCCGGTATCATGATATTCAGTGTCATCGATAGCCTCGGTTAGCCTTGTTTGGTTTACTATAGGGCCGTCACTCTTGTCTACCTCCCTTGTAGATTCAAGGAGACCATCACTTTGTCCATGTCCATTGGATTGAGACTCAGCTCGACAGTCTTGTCGTAAGCGTGCATCACCTTGATGTAAACTGCTATGTTTGAACACACGACAATCTTGAACCTCTTGATTTGGAGTCACTTTGGCTTGTCTTAATAAGGTGTCAATACGCTCTCCAGTCGATTCGTCTCTGGCAGACGAAAACGGATGCTCCTTATTTGGACTTACTTGCGGAGGACCATCAATCTCATTTCTCACATCTGTCCCTGCATTAACAACTGCGGAGCCATGCTGTTTCAGCTCCCTCTCCCAATCAACTTTACCTGGTTTCAAAAAACCAGAATACCGAGAGCCCGTAGGAAAGGGTCTCTTCCCATCAAAACTCTCGGGCCTTTTCTCATTAGATTGACCAATATTTGAACGAACGTATACAGGAACCCTAAAGTCATCTTCATCAACCTTCTTTCTATGTTCAAGTTGGCGAGAGAGATGTTTTCCAGCTTGACGAATAAGTGTTTCCGGAGTCAAATGACCGGGGAAAACATAATTTCGCTCATGGACAGTCCCCTGCAACATGTAAAAAACAAACATTCAGAAAATAACAAAAAAAAAAAAGAACTATTTCTCACACAATCTTAAAACTAGAACACAAATGTGCAAACTAATTGCCAAATTAAACTATTCTAATGCTACAAGGAACTAAACATAATAAATAAATAAAAACAATAACCAAGTCTTATCCCACTAAGTGGGGTCGGGGTCGACTACATAGATCAACTTCTGCTATAATATTCTATCCACTAACATCAACTTCTGCTATAATATTCTATCCACAAACATGCTTGTAAGCAAATCATTAATCTCAAGATAAAAGAAAAGCTACATATTTGAAAAACTACCTGGCTCGAGGAAGCCGGGGGAGGAACCGAATTGCCCGAAGTATTGGGGTGTAGTGGCAAGTTAAACCTTTGAGAGGGAATACTAAATTGCTCATATAAAGCCATTTTATTCCTAGGTGGAGCTCTTGGCCCTCCTTTCTCAGTATCACCAACATGTAACCTAGGAAACAATGGCCCCACCATCTTCTCATCATCATTCCCTCTTTTCATCCTCAACCTTCCCTAACACAACAAACAAAACCCTACCCCTTTTCTATCTCAAACTCTAAACAACAACAAAATTCACAATCCTCTAATACAACAAATCAATTAACATCTAAAGTTACACAACAACACAATCACTTATAATTCTGAAGCTTAAAAAAAAGTGATTATAACACAGACACATCCAATTCACCAAATCTAAACTTTCCTCAACTAAGTACAGAAAAACCTACAAATTCAAACTTGATCTTATTACAACTAGTGAAACAAAACAAACTGTGAGAGAAAGTTTGAAAACTGAAGAGAAAAATTAGGGATAGAGAGAGAGTGTTTAGGGATTCTTGTTTTGTTGTTCTGAGAACGAAGCGGAAAGTGTCGTCATTTTGTTAGAGAAGATATATGAAAAGTGCAAGTGGGGTCCATTTGGATAAAACTTTAAGTTCTTTTCTTTATTAAATTGTTATTTTAAGAGGGTTTTCTTGTCTTAATCTACTCTTTTACTCTTTTTTTCAAAACATTGTGTTATGTTTATTGTTAATTAATACTTGTAATTAAAGTGTGTGTTTATTTTTTTGAAAGAATTTCTTTTTATTGTAATAAAGTAGGAGTAGCACTTTTTAATTTCTTTTCTCTTAGAATAACGTTACTATGATCTTGGGAAAGATTCTCCAACAACTTAGGCTAGACTTGGAAAGAAATCGCCCCTTTTTTAATTTTTTTAAATTTAAATAAGTGTTTTTCATTCATACGGCTAGTAACTCATTAAATTTTATTTTTATTTAGAAAATCATTTTGTTGGTATGTATGTTAATCATGATTTAGCAAACAACTTTATGTTTTCTTTAGTTTAATTTTATAATATTTTAAACCTTGTCTACCAAAATTTATTTAAAAACATAGGTTGATTTAATGTCAAAAACTAATTTTTTTTAAGATTTTTTTTAATGAAATATTGAGGTCGTTTGAGGAAATTGATCGTTGATTTCTGTCATTTTTTCATAAAAATTTATTCTCTTTGTTCAAGATTTATATCATGGATCTTCTTTTCACAAAGCACCAATCTCTTTTTTAAGTAGATCATATATTGAACTTGCAAAGTCATACTAACATCGAAGATTACTAGATCATCCACTCAACATCATATCGATGTTACAATCGCTTAAGCTAACAAGGCTCCACTGCCTCCTCTAGTAGAAGACAACCAAATTCTAATGATATCTCTATTAGTCTCTGCTCAATAAGATTTTGTTCCTCCGAGAGCTAACAGGGGAACATTCTAAGCCTTTTCATTTTTCCAACCTATGCAATAACTTTTTCTAATGTCAAGCTTTGAAGCAACCTCCATCGCAACCGTTAACACCTAAACAAGAGATACTCGCAAATATTTAGTAACTGCAAGCTAACCTAGACTTGCAAGGAGTTGTCGATCTGCTGAACAATGTCTATAACTTAGTACAACAACAAAAATCTGAAGTCTTGGCGGACAGGATACTCAGGATTGAAGAGAATTTTTCATATACTCCTCCGAGAACCTACGTCATGCGTAAGGAAGCTTCATGCAGAAACCAAGGAGTCATACCTTATTCTACTATAATAGACACAATTTCATTGCACGGAGAAATCCTAAGACCGTCGGGTCATAACTAAAATAAAGGACATCAGAGCCTTCCACCCAACTCAGGAGAGAGATGTGGCGATCATACTCCACCAGAGGTTCATAGTGCTCATAGCTTGCTAGCATACAAATCCTAGATAGGGGAAAGGAGCAACACTTATACACTAACCTCTAATCGAAAGAGGAACTCGCTCTTCATACACATTTTTGACAATAAGATTCGGATGTCCTTTGAGAAGCCCCCAAAGCTAGAAAATTACGATTGTATGGGGAATCCAAACAAACACTTCGAACATGTGGATAACATATTGGATTATTACCACGCCCAAGGAGTTGTGAAATGCAAGCTCTTTGCATTAACCCTTAAGGGAGCTATTACGACCTGGTTTAAAACCCTCCCAAACAAAAGCATAGATTCATGAAATTAACTATATAACTCGTTCACTATTCAATTTATTGCTCGAAAAGGAAAACTCACCACTATGGTCGTACTCAGTAGGATCATACATGAGAAAAAATAGATTATGTATGAGTACACCGTTCAACTTATCAAGCTAGTAGAGAAAGTATGAGCAACAAATGATAGATTTAAAAAATGGATATTCAAAAAGGGAATGAGGTCAGATTTCATCTTCCGAGAAAAACTAGAATTGGAAGAAGCTTGTAGCTTAACGACCTGCTAAATAGGGTGTAACCCTATATCAAATACAAGGAATAACTCTTAGCTTGAGAGAAGGACCAGGGAACAAGAAATCCCATATATGGTTAAGCGCAAGAAAAATACATTAATCATCATAAAGATGACAAAGACAGGGGATCCTGAGTCAAATTTCCTACATAAACTCATATGAACACGTCGAGGGAGAAAATCTAGCGGAAATGCGCAAATACCAAATTCAAAGAATTTGGGATCAAGATCCTATATCTCGTGAGTGAGTCAGCTAGGACGAATAATTCAAAATATTATCCTTTCCACCCAAGTCACGGCCACAACATTAATGAATTCATCCACCTGAATGATGCAATTAAAGAACTAGTAAAAAAGGATGACTCACTGAGTATACTCAGGAAGGATGTCGAAGAGGTGATCGGGGCCAAAAGAGAGATCACAGGGGGCAGGATGAGTCTCCAAGGAAGAAAAGGTTCTTTCTCTCAAAGAAATCATCCCCCAAGAAAACTATTGAGACTGTGAGCAGAGCCAAGGGAAAGAAAGATAGTAGCAACGAGGAAGAGGAAGATAGAAAAGGGAAAGGATGATATATCACTTCCATTACTAGATGTATTCCCAAGAAAAAAATCTTCCAAGGGGCATGTGAAGAGGATGATCATCGAGTTAATGTCAATCAGTAATGAGGGAGAAATAACTCTTAATAGGAAGCCAGAAATGCTTATCCTCATATTCTAGGATAATGAAAAGTAGGCAGAATCCCAAATGAGATTTTCCCATTGGTGATAACTGTAACGCCCGGTATTTAATTAATTATTTAATTAAATATTTTTGAATTATTTTCGAATTAATTGTCGGAGTTGTGAATTATTGTTGAAATATTGATTTAAGTTGCTAAGTTGTTATTTGGTTGATTAAGTTATAAAATTAGTATGGAAATAATACTAGATTTATTATATGGGCTTAATTAATGGTTGGTGGTAGTAAAAGTGGGGGGTGTTGATATTAGGTCCAATAGAATTAGTAATAGAAATTATAAGGAATTGGGTTTTTATGAGAAAAGGAAGAATAAGGATTTTAGAGAAAGAGAAAAGAAAAAGGATGCAGTATATGGAGAAGAGAAGAAGAATGAAGGTTTGGAGCTATGGCAGCAGCGGGTTGCAATCGGAATTATAGAGCAATGTCCAATCCAAGGTAAGGGTGAATTTTCTTATCCTATAATGGGTCTTATGAGAAATTGTATGTGGGGATTTAGGGTGTAAATTTATTACTTTTGTGTTTGTTTGTGGCAATTGATGTTAGGAATTGATTAGTGTTAATTATTCGTGAAATTTCATGTTCCTGTATTATACGTTGGTTAGTCTGTGAATCGAATGAAATTGGAGAAGTAACAGGAATTTGCAGAAAATTATATGGTGGGCATTAACGATCGGAAGGCTATGTTGTCATTGGATGGAAGGAAGGAATGTCGTTCGTCACCTTATAATGGTGAGTGCTGCTGGTCGGTAGCCTTGGGAGAGAGAGAAGAGTGTCGTTCGGCACCAGGCATTGTTGTGGAAGAAGGGTGTCGTTCGACACTGATTGTTAGGCGCAGAGACACTTGTTTCTGTGGCAATATGTTATATAATTTTTTATATGGTATCAGTATAGAATTCATTAATACAAAAGTAGTTAGGGATCAAATTGAACCACTCTTATCAGTAGTATGCTATAGCAGAAAGACATTAATAGAAGTAGCCTTTATGTCAGTAATCTTAATTTAGTAGTTATAACATAATTTTAACGGTCTTAGTAATAAGACAGAGTTGGAAATAGTTAGTATAGTTGCAGCGATTGTTTTGGTAAACTGATGTACATTAGCAGAGTGATGAAATAATAGGAATAGTATGAACTAACAGTAGTAGTGTGGGTTTGGTAATAATAATACCGAGTAGAAATGCTAGTAATTTTGGCAGAGGATTATTTAGCCAGATGTAGTTGGTTTGTCTGAATAATTACATGAAATGTTTGTAAAATATTATGGTTAAGACAGTGGATTTTATAAGTTGCTGTAAGGTAGAGACTAAGATGTGAATTAGTAACAGAAGGTTATTAGTAATAAAATAACAGTGGAGAATTAATTAATTTGCAGGATTTGGTCAATTTGTCCGAATAATTATACGGGATAATTGTTGTGGTTAATCATGAAATTGCAGGTGATGATGAATTTGGTTAAATTGACTCTATTTATGGGCAATATTATGATGTAGGCCTATGGCCAATGTTGAATGGTTATTGACCTGTCATTGAATTACTGTTGAATTATTGTTAAGTTGTTGTTTAACTATTGTTATTGAATTGTTATTGTATTGCCGTTGTTGTGTTGTTATGATTGTTGCTGTGAATTTTGTTGATAATGTGAAGTTTCAGAGAATTTTAGACGATGATGAATTACCTCTATTTATTGGTAATAATGGTGATGTGGGCTTATTCCTTGCGATGAATGATGATTGTTTTGAGTATGTGATGGTGCATTCATTGAGTCACATACATTTGCGTACTCTATGATGGCCTGGATTGGCAAAATAGCGATGAAGGTTGATGCCTTATTTGAATGCCTCTAATAATTGGCAAAATAGCGATGAAGGTCGATGCCTTGTTTGAATGCCTCTAATAATTGGCAATTGGTGATGGGGGCTGAAGCCCTGTTGGTACCACATGCATTTGCACAGTTGTGTCTCATCG